CAGCGCTGAACACTGAAAAATGGCCTGGCCAGGAAGGGGGTCTAAACACCTGGTCTTGAAGTGGTTAAATGCCAAATCTATATATATATATTTGTCTGTAGTGTACCTTTTAAGGATAAGAAAAAAATATATGAAGTGTTTTTATTCTTTGTTGCAATAAATCTTTTTTATTCAAAGTATTAAAAGATTTTCTTTCCCCTGTTCCAGCCATCTTTTTGCCCTCTACGCTCCCATGTGCTCTTTCCTACGCTTCAGTTGGCAATTTCGGACAGCTGCATTAGCGCAGGAATTGACGTCTAACCTCCCGTGAAAGGTCTCACCACTGTACAAATTTTCCCAACTAAACTCTGTCACAAGGCCTAACTGCCGCTCTTCACTGTCTGATATTTTTGGCCTTTCTTATCATTTCTGGGTCGGGTTATGAATACATTAACCCCTTCTTTTTTAACTTTTTTTTTTTCCCCTGAAGGTTTTTTTTGATTTTGTTCAGTATTTTGGATTTTATATATTTCATTTATGGTTTTGGCCTGACCTACTTTTTTTTAACAAAGCAAATATAACTTGAAAATAATTCATCCCGTGTATGAGTGTCTAATGTATGGGGGTTTATAAATAGACTACACCACTATATAATGCATTAAACAAGAAATTCATGCAGATTAGATTTAAGTCTCCCAATATGGTGCTGGTGAATATTTACACACTCTTACACAATTAGGATGAAAAGCAACATTTACCTTAGCTGGGGCTCGTTCAAACCATAGCACATGCTGTAACGTGCTCATCATGCACACGGGCTGGCATGCACTACTGGGAGTTTTTAACGCAGTTTGGGGTTTTTTAGCCTTTTTTTTTGTGTTATTTTTATCCTGCCAATGAGTGGTGAGGTGCTCCAACAAAATGCATCATGCCCTTTTTATTTTTTAAGTGCCAACACAGGCATTAAAAACAATGCTAATTTGCTTGTCCTTGCCTAGTGATTGCATTAAGTGACGTACCCCAACTCTGGAGGTGTAAATGAGCCCTTGTAGCTGGTTCAGTTTTACCATACCAGGTTTAGCATCATTCTACCCTAATTCTCAGCCTTAGCCATGACCTGTATTCTTGTGTCATGCAGCAGGTTACTGAGCGTGATAGCCATGATGGCATCACCTATGAATTCATCTCCAAGCCTCCATGGTCCAGCTCTAACTTTACCATCATCCTACCGTAGTCCTCAGTGGCAGCCATGACCAGTATTCTTGTGCAGCAGGTTGCTGAGCTTTATGCCATGATGGCGTCGCCTATGGATTCATCTCCAAGCCTCCTTGGTCCAGCTCTGACTTTACCATCATCCTACCGTAGTCCTCAGTGGCAGCCATGACCTGTATTCTTGTGTCGTGCAGCAGGTTGCTGAGCGTGATCGCCATGATGGCATGACCTATGGATTCATCTTCAAGCCTCCATGGTCCAGCTCTAACTTTACCATCATTCTACCATAGTCCTCAGTGGCAGCCATGACCTGTATTCTTGTGTCGTGCAGCAGGTTGTTGAGCTTGATAGCCATGATGGCATGACCTATGGCTTCATCTCCAAGGTCCAGCTCTGACTTCTATTTTATCCAGCAAAACACAAATGGATTATAGGAGCGCTACTACCCTGGGAATGCTGGTGTCAAATGTAAGGAAGGCAATAGACTCACAGTTGGAAGGTCCCCTGGCGTCTGGGTGACAGTTCCCTGTTCTCTTTTATGGTGTTCAAAACAATGAGTGATCAGTTTGTACCTTCAAATCCGGAGATATTCCAGAAGCTACACATTATATCCTCACTGAATGCTGAATACATCTCTGTGTTCCGCTCGTTGCTCTGTGAGTTTTAATTATCCTGTGCAATATTTATTTAGAACATGTAAAATTAGAATAGAGCATCACAGAGTGTGATATAAGTTCTGATAGGTTGTGTCTAGAACTTGCCTTTAAAAAAAAATATTTTGCATTTACTAGTTTCTCTTTGCCTCCTCTGTTGTTAAAAGGACATTCTTTATAGGGATCAATAGCTCAAGTTAAGATGTTAAGTCAGACCAGTGACTCCTTGCTCTACTTCTGAAAGTGCATGAGAGGTGCTGGAACCCTGAAGAATCTGTATATTTTTACTTTGTAATTGTTGCCATTCAGTATTACGGTAACAATGTAAATGTAGAGAATCTGAATATTTGGACTGGCAGTGTCTGCACACTGTAACCCTGGGTTCACACCTAGGCGTATTGTAATATGCGCGTCTGTCGCGCGTTTTTTTACCACGATTCGCGGTAAAAAAAGTCGCGCTTAGCCATAGAGCAAGATGGTCTTGGCCGGCGTGCACCCTCCATTCTCTCTAGTGAAGGATATTGGGCTATGGAAGGTAATGTGTTTCAGAGGCCGTACCTCTGCCCCCATCATCAGGGCTTGGAAAGAATGAATCTGCGAAACAGTGTATGTGGACTCAATAAGCAATTTATAGTTGGATGTTATAAAAAATGAATTGCACAACAATCCATCACCAGCTGGTTCAAAGAGATAACTACTGCTGTGATTTCTCTTTAGAAAGCCCACTGTGTTCTGGGAATCTTGTGTCATGGGTGCACCCTGCACAAAATATTAATTTGTAGGAGATTGTATATGTAGTAATAAAAAAACAGGTATAAAACGTCAGTTTAAAGACAAAAATGTTCAATAAAATTGACAATTATAGTTTTTCTCTGAAGTGCAAGTTCAGTAAAAGTACACTAATCCATCTCCCCTAGCCCTCCTGAGCTGAACTATATTAGAAACCCCCAATCCAGCTGCTTATTTATCTCTTCCCTGGGTCGAGCTGTGGCCTTGTTTCCATCTCTGGCCAAGTCCTCTTCAAAGCATGCCGCCCTTGTCCTATGAGCCCTCGTAGACTTGTATAGGGCCATTTCAAGAGCTTCTCCAGTCTTTGGAGATGGCCCTACACAAACCTAGGGTCCAGTGGTGGGTGGTTTCTAATATAAGGGAGCAAGAGAGGGTGGCTTAGTGTATATTTACTGAAAGTGCTCTTACAGTAAAGGAAGCGAAGAACAAATCACAAATGATGTTTAAAATGGGGAACATTGCTTTTTTTTTGTATTCAGCTTTTTGTAGGTAGCTACAGACATGCATTGAGAGGAAGACATGCTGTTCCATCCTGCTAAGCAGAAAACAGAGCCTGTAAATGTAATGAGCAAACATGCCCTACCTCCCCATGTACACATGTCATTAAAAAATGGTGGTACAGCTTATTAAAAGTCAGTAAATACGCTTCAAAACATGTCCTTTGTAGCTGCAGGCACTGAGGAGCCATTCATCTTAGAAGAAGCAGCCATTCATCAGCAGAAGCAGCAATGTTTTCTGAGGCCTTCTCTCGGCAGTTCAACTTCACTTGCTCTCCACCCTCCCAGCAGCCTCAGCAGCTCAGCTTGCAATCTTCCTCTCTGCCAGCAGTGACTCAGCAGCTCACTCTGCTCCCCTCACTTGAAGTGACTGAAGCTGGCCCTGCAGTGTTCAAATTTTGGCAAGTTCTTGATAAACCAGCACCCTTTCAGTCAGCATCTCTCGATCAGCAGATCGAAGGAGCCAGTTGGAATATCTTCGGCCGAGCAGAGCTTGCAGCTGTGGTATTCTAACAGCGGCCATTGTAAGAATACAATTAAAAAAGCGGGGGAATTCCTCCATCCATGCTCGTAAGTATTCGGGTCTGGGTGTCCATACTCGGACGCACACAGGATGGATCCTGTCTGTTTCTGAGCACGGACAACCGGACCCGCACTAATGTGCAGATCGGGTGCGCGTGTGACAGCGTACGGCCACGTACTCCCATAGAGAAGAACAGGCTGCTGCGTACAATTGCACGCAGCACCTGTCCCTCCCGGGAACGGCCCGATACGGGCGTGCACAATGCACGGATCTGTACGGCCCGAATTTATGCTGTGTGAATGAGGCCTAAAAGAAAGCCTTCACTGACCACTGTAGCTGCAGGTTCTGTGGAGCAATTAAAGTGACATTAAAGGACACGTTTTTTTCCCCGCCACCCAATGTTAATGTCAGCACTTACCTTAAATGATGTCTCTTAATCCGATCTTTTTCTTTCCTGTCGTTTTCAGCCTTCTCTCCAGCGCTGACTCCTCTGTCCTTGCTTGCACTTCCTGTCCCATGGTCTCTGCATGCAGGTGCACGCGTTCATAGTCTTACCTTGTGTCTCTCCTCATCTCCCGGCCGAAAATCCAAACTGTGGTTTGCATTTTCAGATTTTCGGGCGGGAGCGATCAGGGAAGACAGCAGTAAGTTTAAACCGCTTTTACATCGTTGTTTTTTTTAAAACTTTTTGCATACACATACTGCTTGCTAGCAGTAGATCTATGCAAAATGTGAGGGTTTAGAAACCCTTTAACCCTCAGATGAAACAGGTTCACAGAGATATATGAGGTGTTCACGTTTACATCAATAAATAAAGTATATATAGACTATAGATGTTTGTGTGTTGCCAAAACAAAAAAGAAAGTGTTCCTCTCAATGCTCAAAGTTTAATAATTGTCACTTACAGCATTGTTAATGTTCATGTAAACAAATGCTAATGCGAGTCACTTTGTTTTCATAATAAAAAAATATAGTAAAATATAAAGCCTACAAAAAGGTAAAAGTTTTTGGCTCAATACAAAAGGAGAAAAAAAAGTAAAAAAGAATTCAGCCCCCGGAGTGAAGAATTGTGCCTGCAGTTGCATGGGAATGGCCCTTGAAGTATCTCTTTGAGGCTTTGTAAGACCCAGGTTCCCGCTCCAGCCCTGCTGTGTGGCGATTTATAGAACAGTCACCGCTCGCTGATCTAATGTTCTGCGATTCCTGAGCTTTCTCTACACTTGGTGCACGCAGAGCTTTGTGCCGCCGAACCTCAGACTCAATAAATCACTGACATTTTTGCTTTTTTTTTTTCCCCTCCTTTCTTTCTATCTCTCTCTCCCCCTCTCCTTTTTTTATTTTGCAAAGCCTGCGGATTTGGATGAATGGGTAAGCACTGTTTGGCTCGTGTTCATGCTTATTTCACTTGTCATATTGTCACTGTGGTGGGGATTTTTTGTGGAAGCCAAAGTGTATTTCATTTCCGTCTCTTCTCTTCGCATTTCTCTGTGTTTGTTTTTTTTCTTTTTTTTTTTCTTTCCTTTAATGGTTTCTGTACGGTGGGCCATTTGTGCATGAAGGAAACGACAATCTGGGCTAATTGTTGTTGCATTAACATTGATTGATTAATTTAGAGGCATGTTTGACATTTTTTTTTCTTTTTATTTATTAAAGGAGAACTATGGAGTTAAGGCTTTTCCCCATAGTTCTCCTTGGGGTAACGGGAGGACACAAACTAGCATCCTCCCGTCACCCTAGGCTCAGTATACCGCGAGGTGTAGCTCGCGGTATACTGAGACGCCGCAGCTGAAGCGGATCCCGACAATTATGCCTGGATCCGCCCAGCTGCGTGACTGACAGCTGGCTCTGCCTATCTAGAGGCAGAGCCAGCTGTACCCGCCCCCTCCCCCGTCCGTTCCGCCAGTCAGCGCTGGCGGATCGGAGCGGGGAGGGGGGAATCCAGCCCCTCCCCTGTCACGGCAGAGAGCCGTGACAGGATCGAGAGGTGAGCGAACGCCGGTATGTTTTCGCTCACCTCCCGATCTACTGAGCCGACCTGTGACAGTCTCATTGTCACAGGTCGGCTAGAACTATGAGGTGAGTGAAAAGCACTCACCTCATAGTTCTCCTTTTAAGCTTCTTGAAAATGTCCTCAATCCTGATAGTGTTAACAGCCTACCATTGGATGGAATGCGGGGCCCTAGTTGTAAATGAGAGTTGACTCCATCCAGTCTATATATCAGGATTAATGATCAGATCCCTTGCTCTATCGAAAGTTCCAACTTATCGAGTTCTCCAACTGCCTGACTTCCGGTTTAGTAAGAGATTTGGGCAAGAAAGCTCTTTCTGCACGAGCGCCAGCCGCGGCATTGCCCTATACACATACACCACAGCAAAACGAAGTAGTATCACACTAATACAGCACGTTAATAATCTCAGGTGCCCCACTCAATATGGCCGCCGCTTGAGTGGGGCACCTCAGTTTAATAACGTGCTGGATGTATGCAATGCATGTATGGATGGAGCTCCCTCGTGGCCATGGCCCCACCCCACCTCAAGCTGACACTCGGCGCCAAGAAGCATATGAATGGCTGCTTGGCACAAGAACTGACAGTGCTACACTAGGAGGGAGGCTGAGAAGCCTCTCGCCTAGAAAAGTGGAAGGCACGCAGCGACCCACTGAACACGGGACAACAGCAAAAGGTTTCCCAGCACACTCGCCAGCCAGCATGTAAAAAAACCTGTCTAACCACTAAGGTTAAAAACAGAGGATTTGCGACCCACGGAACTTTTGTGTCACGACCCACCAGTTGAGAACCAAGGGTATAGACCAACCGTTTCTGATGGCTGGGTCAGAGTTAGGATTTCCAACACCAGCACATCATCCCGATCACAACAAGTCCAAATAACACCAACAGGGTCCATGCATCAGTATAGTCAGTCTCTAGATTGTTCTCCGAGACCTGGACATACCATTTTGCACCTGCATGAAGCGTGTTTTGAGTATTATCAGAAGGGATAACTCTCATCTACCTTGTGATGGACTAAACATATTCCCTCTGATATTTGAAAAATGACAAATGTTTGCAGACGATGTAGTTCCCGCCATTTGCCCTGCTGGAAGAATTCGTTTGATGGCTTGCCCCATGCAGTGAGGTGACCGTTGTCCAGGTTTATCTACAGCCACACGCCTGCAGCAGATTCATTAGCAGCTAGGTGTTCCTTACTGGTAACGAGTCCTTCCATCTCCAGGATCAAGCTGTCTATTAAAATCCTAAATAGTGACCATTTGTCCATACGAGTGATCACCGAATTAACACAATATCTGTAATATCTTCTCTCTCCTATATTTAATGTTACAACTCCAAATGACAAATATGAATTTTAGATTACAGCCGGAAAGGTTAAATGCTTCAGAATAAAACCCATCTGTGGCTTTCAAGGCTTTTTTTTTCTCCCTTCAACAATACATGTTGTTTTCTGCAAGCAAAAAAAAAGAATAAAAAAACAAAACACAAAATGAGTCTGAAAAAAAGACATAAACTAGAATCCCCCACAAACGGCAATCAGCGGCCTGGCCTCCCAGGAAACCTTTGTGCGGCTAAATCTGCTAAGTGGTTCAGAGTAAAAATAATGAAAGGGATATGCACTTTCTAAAATGAAAGGTTGCTAATTGCTGGTGCCAATTGTTGCACCTTTTTGGCACCAGCCGTCGGTTGCCGGGAATGCGCTTTCCCATTGGTTTGAGTCGGCGGGCCCCGCAGATCACAGGTTATTCCGTCTAATGAGTTTTCGCATGCATAATATTCATTAAACTCTGCAGCAAATTTTTTTTTTTCTTCCTGTCCTCACAATCCGGGCCGGTGGTATCCGGAGAGGTTAAGCATCATCTGGCTTTGCATTTCGGGCAAGTGCTGAAGTGGGCGGGTTAGCCTAAACGGCTTAGATTTATTGCTAGCACGGCTTTTTTTTGTTAGGGAGCCATTTTGTGTGCCAAGCAGCTATTCAGCTTTTTAGTTTCAATCAGAATGAGTGAAAGGTAACTGCAGCCAGAGGCATTGAGGTTATAGAAGTGCGGCCATTTTGTGGAGTAAACTGATATTCCTTTTCTCTGTTTTACCTCATCCCTCAAGAATCTCATTGGCCCTTAAGGTATTCTCCGGGCATGACACAGATTTACCCCCAGACCCTCCCCATATCCCCCTCTAGGGTATGTCTCGGCATTTATTTTTCTTTCCTTTTACCTTGTTTCTATAGCAAGAAACAGCTTTAAACTACCAGGATTGTAAATAGGGTTGCCACCTTTTCTTTCAGCGAAACCCGAACACTCTAGCGGCGTACGGAAATTTGGGGGGGAGAATGAGCCGCGGTTTATTCTTATGTAAATAGCGCGCCACCCATTCATAAGTAAATATCACAGTCAAGACTATTTTCAGTGGGGGCCAGTAGCCCCTATCTTAATTTTGGTTGCCCCTGTCTGCCTGGCATCATGTGTCCGGGTTTCAGCTGCCTTGAAACCCGGACACAGCATTCAAGGCCCGGAGTGTCCGGGTGAATCCTGGACAGGTGGCAACCCTAATTGTAAAATCCTTGCAGGTTCAGTTGGTGGGAGTTCAGTTCTGTTAGCATAGACACAGCCCCAGAACGACATCTCCGAAGCCCTTTTCTCTAAACACAGTTTGGGGCCTTGCTCATGGGACCCCCAGGCAGCAGCATGGTTTTGCATGGAAATAAGTCAGTGTATGCATGTGGAAAGGAACAGAGAGTACAGGCCCTTCTCAAGTCTTCCATAATTCAGCCCATGCAAGACCAGCCTTGCAATATCATACTTTTTGGAAAGTTGGATCCATGTTTTTTTTAGATTTACACTTTTGACACGCGTGGGGACGATGGCCTTTCATTTATTTCTTTTGATCAGGGCACGGCTCGCATTTCGGAGCCCGCCGCCGTTTGTTTAACGGCGATGTAAATAATTCCGCCCATTGTTTCGGCTGATCGGTTGCTGGCACAAGAAAAAACACACACAGAAATTACATGGAACCTCAGACAAAAAGAAAGGAGCCCCAAGTGCCTATTATATGCTTATTATAAATCATTAGCGCGGAGAAATATTTACACTGCCTGGGTACAGGCACGCCGTCCTGAAAACATATGCAGATGCGCACGTGCAGCTTAATTAGCAGCGGCAACCCCTATTATTTGGTTAGCACCCTTTGTGTGCCAGAGGGGCCAAGATATAGGCCTCTTGAGGGAGCATTCAAGTGTTCTCGTGTAGTGCCGACTCCTCCAGTCTAATTAGCTGAACATGATAAAGGTGGGCATAAGCTGGCGTTTTTTATTGTTAGATACAGGCGGTTTCACAGTCTATTACTGTAGAGTCTGTAGCCTGCTAAATACTGAATTGATTTTAAGTGGAACTCCAGCCAAAAATAATAAGATAAAAATGTCAAAATAAAGAAAGCTGCTTTATGTTACTGTAATCCATAGCGGCCCTCCGCTGTACTTCTTTTCCATCGCTACAAGTCCTTAAAGTGACATTAAACCCTCAGATTTTTTAACACAAAACAATATTGTAATGTGCGCCTTACTGTAATCCATGGTAGTTTCCCTTCCCTTGGCTGCCCTTCCTTTTAAATCTGTATCTGTTCTCATGCTGGGCAGAACCTCTGTTTGCAGCAGACTGCCTTGTCTCTGGAATGGCTACATGGTGTCTGTGTATAGGTTTGCAACCTGAGCCAGCACTACAGGAAGAGGCACTCAGCTGCAAAGGGAAGTTCTCCCCAAGCATGAGAAGACATGAGGATTTAAAAGGAAGAGCAGCAAAGAGAAGGGAAACAACCATGGATTACAGTAAGGCGCACATTACAGTATTGGTTTATGTTAAAAAATCTGAGGGTTTAATGTCACTTTAACCTGACAGCATCATTGAACCCACGTCCGTTGGGCCCAGGCTGTCCTGGACCTGTCCTCAGCCCATGACTGGACATTAATGAGTTCATCTCATGCTCCTTGTGCTGCTTCTCCCTCTCCCTTCCTGAGATCTCTTGTACAGGGACTGCAAGTGGCTGATACTAAATCAAATTCAGGTAATTAACACTGCTTGCATTAAATAAATACATTCAATGATGTATTATTGATTGCATTCATTCAGGTCTTTTGTATCTGCCTAGAGTTATGCGTTCACACTGCTAAGAGCCGGCCCCTACAGATCCGTGCAGCATGGATGGTTGTATCGGGCTGCTCCCGGGAAGTACAGGTGCTAGGTGTGATTTACACGCATCAACCCGCAATTCTATATTGGAGTACGCCGCCGTACGCTCACCTGAACTGCACATCTGTGCGGGAGCGGGTGTCCGTGCTCGGACGCACACAGGATGCATCATGTTTGCGTACGAGTACGGACACTCACACCCGCACAGATGTGCAGTTTGGTTGAGCGTATGGCTGTGTACTTCCATAGAGAAAAACAGACTGCTGCGTGCAATCACACGCAGCACCTGTCCTTCCCAGGAGCGGCCCGATACGCCCATGCACGCCGCACTGGTCTGTACGGGCCGGCTCTTAGCAGTGTGAATGAGGCCTTAAAGTTGAAATAAATTCCCACAAAAGAATACTTTGTTTTGTAGAGCACTGCAAGTAAAATAAGATTACATTTTTTTTTGCTTCACTTTGTGCATGTTTTCTCTCCCTACACCGCACACACCCCGCAGACTCTTTTTGTGATGTGTGCATGCTGTAGCAATTTTACTGTAATGTCTACAGCAGAACATGCCCGTGGACTGTGCATTGGCATGACTGCTTGAAGTCCAACTAAAGAGTGTGCAGGAAAAGGTGACAATGCTGCAGCTGAACTGAGTAAAGGTTGTCGCCCTAGGGCAGGAGGTACCTGTGGATACAACCTTCTGGTATAAATAAATGAAAGCAGGAGATTTAGAAAAAAAATATGGCAATCGACTGCATAAAAAAAACACTCCACCCCTTTTGGTATTCTAAAGATGCCTAAATGGCCAATTATTTGCCTAAATCCATGGTCACGTGGCATCCCAGGCCTCGGGTCATCTCTCTTCTGAACTGCAGAGTGGGAAGGTCTTTCTAAAGCTGGTCATACGCCTATAGATTATCTGCAGATTTTCTATGGTCAGATGGAAAAAGTGCAACAGATTCCTCCATCTAGGCTCAACTGTGTGGATGGAGGAATCTCCCACAGGGCCAAGCTTCAGTATCTTGCTAGTCGGCCCCGCTGGCTCTTAAAATTCAGGTATTTTGACAGTCTGCGGGGCTGGCCAGCAAGATGCAGAAGCTTCAAATCCAAATTTTTTACGCCACTTAGCTCCCAGGCAATTTGTTCGCCAAGCCCTGTGTGGATTCCTCCATCCACACATGTCTGTGAAGGTTCTCATTCATCCAGGTCATGGTAAGTGCAGTGACCAGTTACCATGTCCAGCCACACAGTTAAGTGTAGATGGAGGAATCTGTTGCACTTTTTCCATCTGACCATAGAAAACCTGCAGATAATCTATAGGTGTATGCTTTATGGTGTGTACATCGCTTCCTGGTGAGGTGGGCACTTTCCAGTGACTGTTCATCAGCGGGGTCCTCACAGGGCCTCCCAGAAAACTACATGGCATAATAACACCACGACAAGGGGCAGCAACAAGACGCTGGTGGATCACCGGTCTTTAGCGAAAGAAGCACTCTGGTCGGGTCATGTGATTGTGGGCTCAAGTAAATAAGAAATAAGCGCTAGGAAAAAACATTTTTCAGTGAGTTGTGTTAATGAGTATGGACGGGTGGGGTGGCAGGGTTTGGTTTCCCAGAAGATGGGCTTTTATACAAATTTACATAAGCTTGAGATCAGTTACCTCCAGCCTAACCTGAATCTCAGGAGACGTCTATCTATCTGAAAAGATTGTTCTCTCCTGGTTCCTTTGCTATTCTAGCATCTTCCGGCCTTCAGGATTTCTGCAGGAGCTTGTGTCAGGCTCATTGAGCGTCAGAGGAAGCTGACATTTAAAATACAGCAAGCCGTGAAGGGCCTTTTTTTTTTTCTTGCCAGATTTGCTCAGACTAAACTTTATGAAGTGTCCCAGTTTGCCCGTTCCCAGCTGCTCCTGGGAAGTCTGGAAGTGCAGCCAGCCTTCAGATACAATCTCTCTTTCTAATGACCCCTGCCATCCTTGTAGCGACAGCTCTACGCCTTCCGGGATCATTTCTGTCCAGGCAGCTTCATCGTTTCTGCGCCACGTCCCTTTTTCACCCCGATGCTTTCATGCTTCTTAAAAGTTCAGGCCCGCTGTTGAGGCCTTTGCCATAAAGCATCTTTGTGACACGGTCCTGGAGTAGTGTTGTGCGAGAGAAGCGGGCTCCTCTAAATATAGCTGTGGATGAAATCAGGAGTGTTTTCTTCAGGATGCGCAGTAAACAGCGCTGTCTCTCAATGATACATGAAAAATTCAGGGTGTTTATGACAGATCCCTGAGGGCAAGACGGAATCCAGAGAAGAGAATGATAGTTGCTCATCTTTATTTGTGAACGGATTTTAAGTCGGTGGCTCAGTATAACCCATTAATGCCTGAAGACTCATTTGAGAGTTCTTGATGTTCTTATGCAGAATGTGGAGAAAAGGGAAACTGTCTTTTTAAAGAGCCACTAAAGGATCACCCGCACCCCTAACAATGTACACTAACCTATCCATTCTCCTTCAACATGTTCCTTTTCCTTTGGAGCCCTTGCTCCATTGCTCTGACATAGCTGATCTTCCAGGTATAGAGGAACCTTTGACCTCCCCATGTGACAGTGCTCAAGCCTAACATTATCCACCAGGGGGCAATGGCATCCACCTGGGTAAGCTCCGATACCAGAACTCAGGGTGGATCGGTGGTGGGCTACTAGGAGAATGGGCAACTGACACTCTCCTTAAAGGCCTAGCCTGGCTGCCTTTGGCTTCAATACTTTGTGTTCCTCACTGACTTGCAGCCAGTGAAGTTAACGTGAATTCCTGACTCCTGACCAACACATTGGCAGTTGTGGCGGCCCAGTTGTGTGTTTCTTTGCATTAGTTGCCTTTAAAACTGAAACTAGAATGGTTTCTGATTGGTTTTATTTTAAAATATCTCCTAAAAGTTTGCAAATATATATATAAAAATACACACACACACTATATTGCCAAAAGTATTGGGACGCCGGCCTTTACACACACATGAACTTTAATGGCATCCCAGTCTTTATCCGTAGGGTTCAATATTGAGTTGGCCCACCCTGTGCCACTATAACAGCTTCAACTCTTCTGGGAAGGCATCCACAAGGTTTAGGAGTGTGTCTATGGGAATGTTGGACCATTTGTGAGGTCAGGTGCTAATGTTGGAGGAGAAGGCCGGGCTCGCAGTCTCCGCTCTAATTCATCCCAAAGGTGTTCTATGGGGTTGAGGTCAGGACTCTGTGCAGGTAGTCAAGCTTCTCCACCCACAACTCGCTCATCCATGTCTTTATGGAGCTTGCTTTGTGCACTGGTGCGCAGTCATGTTGGAACAGGAAGGGGCCGTCCCCAAACTGTTCCCACAAAGTTGGGAGCATAAAATTGTCCAAAATGTCTTGGTATGCTGATGCCTTAAGAGTTCCCTTCACTGGAACTAAGGGACCAAGTCCAACCCCTGAAAAACCAATATAATCCCCCCTCCACCAAACTTTACATTTGGCTCATTGGCTTAATGCAGTCAGGCAAGTACCGTTCTCCTGGCAACCGCCAAACCCAGACACGCCCATCGGATTGCCAGACAGAGAAGCGTGATTGGTCACTCCAGAGAACACGTCTCCACTTCTCTAGAATCCAGTGGCGACGTGCTTTACACCGCGGCATCCCACGCTTTGCATTGCACTTGGTGATGTGCGGCTTGGATGCAGCCGCTCAGCCATGGAAACCCGTTCCATGAAGCTCTCTACGCACTGTTGTTGGGCCAATCTAAAGGCCACATGAAGTTCGGAGGTCTGTAGCTATTGACTCTGCAGACAGTTGGCCACTTCTGTGCACTGTGCGCTTCAGCATGCGCTGAACCCGTTCTGTCATTTTACGTGGCCTACCACTTCCTGGCTGAGTTGCTGTTGTTCCCAGTTGCTTCCACTTTGTTATAATACCAGTAACAGGTCACCGCGGAATATTTAGTAGCAAGGAAATGTCACGGATGGACTTATTGCACAGGTGGCGACCTATCACGGTACCACACTTGTAGTCACTGAGCTCCTGAGAGCGACCCATTCTTTCACAACTGTTTGTAGAGGCATCTGCATGCCTAGGTGCTTGATTATATACACCCGTGGCCAAGAAGGTGATTGGAACACCTGAATCCAATGATTTGGAGGGGTCTCGCAATACTTTTGGCAATATAGTGTATATACAGTGTGTGTGTGTGTATATGTATATGTATGTATATGTGTGTATATATACGTATACACACATATGCGTGTGTGTTTGTGCTTTTCTGTGCACACCCTAATGCAATAGGCTGTGCACGTCCTATGGGCATAACTTTAAAAAAACAATTTATAAAAAGTGCAGCTAAAAGGAGAACTATGGGGTCAGTGTTTTTCCCCATAGTTCTCCTTAGAGTAACGGGAGGACACAAACTAGCGTCCTCCAGTTACCCTAAGCTCAGTATACCGCAAGCTACAGCTCGTGGTATACTG